GTTAGGGTTAAATTTTGTCAGTTTATGACTCTTAGGCCCGTTTCAAACGTCATGCTTATGCCGTGTCAAATACAATTCAACTTGATTTTTGTATTCGGCACGGCATAAGCATGAAACCTATTGGCTCGGCAACTTGATTTCGGCATGGCAGAGGATTTTGACTCAACACGGTCTGCCTTGCTTATGTCATTAAGCATGGCAGAAGCACAGTGTGGTTTCAAACGTGCTACTGCCGAGTTGAATATAATCGCTATCCTAAAAATGGCTCTAAACTTCGTTGATAATTAGGAATGCGCATGTTCATAACATGTAGTAGAGTGGAGAAACAATCGACAAACAAACCCATTAACAAAGATGGCGACTAAAATGGAAATTTCTTGAAACGCACATAGCAGATTGCTAGATGGAGCTTGGGGGAAATGGGGTTTCAGTCACACCATTTCTCTTTCAAATTCATGCCTGATATAAGATGAGATTCACCCAAAGCTGACCTCTGAAACTAAAATGCCGGAATAAGACTCCCAATGAGAGTGAACTGTTAACCCAGGTGATAGGCCTACTTCACTGAGGTGTCACTGTAAGATCGCTGGGAACCACAACACCGGGCCTTGACAATAAAAGGGGCTCAATTTTTTTTTAATAATAAAGTACAATTAGTGCTCGCCGAATCTAAATCCATTTTAGAACGACCGCAACATCACATTTCATGTTGTGCTGGTCTGTCATGTTGAATTTATTTAAGTTAGACCAGGCTTTTTGAATTAAATTTTACGTTTGAAACCACTGCTGTGCTCAGGTCGTGCTAACATTGTGCTCAATTCAATTTTATTTGACACGGCATAAGTATGACGTTTGAATCGGTCCTTAAACTGTGGTCTCTGCAACAGAGCAAATGTGAATGGGACATGGGTACATGCACACTGCAGCCACTTGAACGAAATTGGGCACAACTTTGCACCATATATAAGCCTCAGGAAACACATACATTTCAACTTTGCACCATGTATAAGCCTCAGGAAACACATACATCAACTTTGCACCATGTAAACGTACGTACATGCGGTCAATTCCAAGACAAGGTGTTTAGTTGCCCAATGTTTAAAGTATAGAAAACATTTTGAATGAGGATGATCACAACTTTTATGAGAGCGGTTCCTTTGCAATACTGCAGCAGTCATCACTCAGTTATTAAATTAGCTCTGCCCAATGTTTTCATCAAGTCTTCCTTGAAGCAAATCATCTCTCACCATGAAAAAAGCTTTTCACTGCCCCTCAAACCAGAGTTCTTAAGTAAATCTTAGCAAGTTGAGCAATGCCAAGCCTTTCAATGAGGTAACACTGTCCTTTTTTATAAATTGTTCAGCACCATTTATGCCACCTAACATGATTACATAAGTTACACCATACTTTACAACACAGGTGCAGTAAAAATTTGCGTGACCAAAACATGGCACACGTGAAACACCAACGTGTCATTCAGATCTGCACATGTGAGATGTGGAGAAACAGGTACATAACGGAAACAGCATCCAAGTGTCTGTGACAAACTTGTCTCTCTGTCACCATTGAAACAGGGTACTTCAGCATAGCTTCCATGTACAAACAGGTATCAGAAAAATCTTCAGAGAAAAAGTAAAGGACAAAATATCAGATAATAATGGATGGATAAACTCACCTCCTCTCAACTGTCTTCTGGAGGACCTTCCTAGCTTCATTTCTCTTCTTCACGGGTATTTTATCCAAACCCTATGGGAACACATGTTGAAAACAATTCAACGCATTATTTCTGAATTTGTTTCAAAATTCATAGTAGGTAACAGAGAGTAAACTATTTTCATAATTACATGCAATTCATCTACAGAAAGTGGAAGTTTCGTATAAAGAAAAAAAATTGATCATGCTCTTAAAATGTATCTAATGCTTAGGGCTAATTGACTATGCATCTTGGTACTCCACATGAAGTTTTATAGGCATATTATTAACTTTCATCTTTTGTAATATATTTTCATGATGATTTAATGTCCGTCTTCCTCCTGAACCTGTAACATTGACAAATCATATACTACATTGTGGGCATTAGTTACTTACAAATGATAAAAGCAAATTACAATGATGCTTCGTGCTTGACAATGCAAGCTACATGTATGTCCATCATCTAAGATTGACAACACCCCTTATTTGTGTCCAACTGTGTCAGAAAGCACACTAGTCACAAGACAACACTTCGCACATCATACTACACAGTTGCTCAATCACAGCTTCAAATGACACTCAAATTGATGGAACTTGCTCACCCTTGTGACCACCGTTGTGGCAGGCAGCCCTTGGGAAAACAGACAGGACAAACAGAGGTCACCCCAGGTATCCCAGCATTCCGAGGGTGAGATGACACACAGGAGCGAGTCAGCCACTTTGGCCGCATCCAGCACAGAGGTCAGGTCAGGCGGTGGGGTCAAGAAGGTCAGACGATGCTTGAACCTTGGTATGCTGAAAGATACAAACAAATAAATCTAAAAAAAGGTTGTCTACATTTGCTGTCATGTCATTTAAAGAGCCAGTAGTGTATATAAAATTGAAGAGGTGTTCAGAAATCACCACACCAAACGGAAGAGTCCACAACATATCAAAACTGTTATAAGACATGGTTAATGGAAACGGCCATGTCTTCAAACAGTGAGAGGCTGTGGACAAGCAATTGAACTATGGAAGATACTGTGGTTAAGTTGGGCAAACTTCAGTTTAAGACAACTAACTCCAACTCACATCTATGGGTTAAGCACGTCACTTGAAGGAAGACAGGAAATCTACAAAATCTGACTTAAAATACACTTATTAGGGAATCTGCCTGTGAATGAGTAGCTTCTCTATGGTATAGCAAAGAGAGGCTAGTTCGTAATTGTTTAACTTGGGAGCCTGCAAGAGTAAATAAATGATTACAAGTACTACAGGTAAAGTATGTAAAATACGATATCTCGTGATATCATGAGCTGATATTCCCCAAAGAAGTGCGGCCTACAAGCAGTTGAGAACAAATTAGGAGCATACCCTGGACAAGCTTTGGTATAAACAAAGACCTCAAGATAAAAGCCTCCTTCATACATGTTAACCCACACTTGTTGAGGCTCCTCATAAAGTTGAATTGTCAATGGAAGCTTGTGCAGCATTTTTGCTCACACATCATCAGTATAAAATCAGGTTACAAACTAGCAAGCTAGAACTCACTTTCTCTGGTAACTTTGTTACATCATGCCCAAATGTAAATAAACCCCTGTAGTCAAAATGTAAAGAAGTTCATACCTGAGGTCACTGATATTTTCATTGGCGCTTGGTGACTGGACAGAGGTTTCATCACATGATTGAAGTTGCTCCACCAATCCCTTGACATCACAGTCTGAGTGTAAGCCAATCACAGCCTTTTTCGCATTTTACAAAATAAAAGAAAACTAAATTAGTTATTCTATTGAAAAAACCTTTAAAATTACAGCTTGGCAATGTCAAGTCACCAAGCTACATAGAAATTACTATAGTGCTATAAAAACACTTCATTTTTTTAAAACCTTCCTTTGGTTTAACAGCAAAAATATGCACAAGTGACCACAGCTACTCTCTTGCATGTGTTTTCTACAAGGAACACAAACATGCACAGGTTCAGTGTGTACACAGTTGGTTGCCAGCACAAACTGACACAGGGTCTTTTGTGCAGTCCTCTTCACTGCATTTGGTTTACTGCACAATGATGCACACGAAACAGTGAAGCACAGTTGTTGGACAGCACAAAAGTGAGGGACAGTTGGTGCAGTGCACAACATTACACAGCTGTGCTTCTTTGAGCTGTTTACCAACTGACCCAAAGAGTGACTTCAGCATAGGAGGGTTAAGGCCGGTTTATAGTTACTCGCAGTACTGCAAAATTGATATGCAAATCCTCCCTAACGCAATTTATAGTTGTCACCACTGCGCCAGTTGCTAATCACTGACAGACACTGATGGCTTGATGCTGAGATCAAGTAATTGCACTTTGACATGATCACTGCTCTAACATTTCATCACTCACGCAAACATCACACAGTGACAATGACCTGTCTAAATAGGCTTCAGTGTCCAGGAACTACCGGCATCTGACATTCATATGTGATCATACTCTTAACCCTGTGTACAGAGTATCATCCCAAAGGAACATTTATGTAACTATCTCTTATCTTCAGGCAAGCTTGATTTCTCAATTCTGATTGGTTGATCCATGGCAGCAAACAGTGTGATATATAACTGTAATGCACGGTTCATATCAAACCACACATAATGCGCTGTTCTACTTCATGCATTGCGCTATATTTACGCTAAAAGCAAAACGCACAATTGCAAACTTCACTTTAAATTCAAAGGTGGTGTGTTTGTGTGCATGGGCCCTTAAAAACATCTTTACTGCGCGTCAAGTTTGTTTGAAGATAAATTTGTTCTGTGCTCGCATCCATGGAACACAGAATAATGCAGTGTGTCTTTGGCCTCGGAGTATACGGGACACAGGCACACTACACTATTCTGTGTTCCACTCGCACTCATGTAGTATTAAAGTAATAGTACATGCACATGGAGCTTGATCTCCACTGGTACAGTTTGGTGGTTTTGTACATCAATAATACCAGACTGCACTTGGCAAGTTGTTGTACATAAACGCTGCAAATTCTGTGCAGATACAATATACATGCATGCTGCTTAGAAACCAATGAACAGTGATCCACGTGAGAGACACATGACATGGATATATTTACATGCATGGTGTAGCATGTGTGCATACAGTAAGCCTGTGTAATTAGGCCTTCACTGTGTTAAGGGGACAATTTCATTTGTTAGGAAAGTCTGAACTAAGTTACGGAGACAAAAATGTGTCCCCAGAACAATTGGGTCCTCACAAAACCTATATGTATGTCAAAACGGCACAAAGACATGGTAAGTGTCTTTGTATGTGTATTGGGCAACCATAACAATGACATTAAGAGTATCTGCCAATATCTCTTGGTNCATCACTGGACGGGGTGTTCTTGTGTACAAAGGCCATTAATCATTAGTGATAAGTTCGTCTTCCTTGTGAATACCCACCACAAGATGAGGGGCACTGTCCCTACCACCGATGCTGCGTTTCCTTGCCAATGTCTCCTCACGTTTGTGCTGTCTTCTCTGCAGGGCCTAAAAAAAAGTCAATTAAACATTAGCTGATGAAACATTTATAACACTTTCATTTGTTATCCTGACGGCAAAAGGGAAACAGAGAAATATTCAAGGAAACAATTTAGTATTCAGACACCTCAGTGGCTACATCCAAAAGGGAAAAAGAGAATCATGCTTTTATGTCTCAAATTCACTTTTACCCCAACATTCTGTGCATGCATTTGTAAAACCAAATGCTATTAAATGCAGGTTTAACATCACAAAAGTGACAGGATATGTGACTTAACTAGTTTCAACTAAAAATGGAATGCAACAACTATGACAATTATTTATGATATTCTTTTTTTTTTACAGTTTTTCTTACTTGATGTCTCCTGTCCACTTTGCTGATTTCATGTCTGTTTTTCTTGGATTGCGTCTTGACATTTACACGGCCTGTCAATGAAAACATTTAATCATGTTCAATGTTACAAGGTTCCAAAGCTTTGAAAAATAATACACAGAAAATGATCACATAGATAAAAAGTAATGACTTACACATTTACAGGTAAGCAGCTTCACAGCAGGAACAAAAGAAGGCGTGTTTTGAATGAAACTTACAGTTCCTTGTTACCAAAGAGCTACTCTGTTTGCTCTCTGTTTGGTACGCATTCACCATATTGGCGCACAAGTTAACATGCGTTTGACGTGGAGTACGCGCAACGAATTTAGTCTGTAATGTATGGTCTTCGTGTGCATGCTGAACATGAGCAAGAACCCAGTTGGAAAACTTAGTGCCATCTGTTTTTCTTTCGTCGGAGAGGATGCACTTTAGCTCAGGGCAGATAACTTACGCCTGCCATACTCCCCTGCTTCCAAAATGGTTGAGTCCATATTGGATGTTTGATGATAATGTGCATATGCAGTATGTGATGCATTGTGTAAACAGCCACATTGAGCAGATGTGCCGATCATTTTGTGAAGACAGGCAGGATAAAAAATACTCTAAATTTTGCTGAAAATGGTCACTTAGGGCAGTTCCACGGAAACATCAACCTCTGGGCCAAAATTTCAAACTGGTCCAAATGTGACAAATTATATACCATTTTGAAGCTTATGGTGTATACTTTCATGAAACATACTTCATTTCTAACAACATTCAAGAATTTGGCTTTTATATGATACAGAAAAATTGGTTTGAAATACCGAGAAATTGGGGAAAATATTTCCCCTCTGAAAGATTGTCTGTTTTTTTAGCCTGATAATTTTTTTGTTCCAGTTTTGTTACAGTTTGAAGAGTGCCCCAATAAGTAAACATTGACAAAAATGAATTTTCATTTTCCTTTTGAAATTCTATGTAATGCCGTATTTTATAACACTTACTTTTCAAAATCAATTGGTTTCACTTTGTGTTGCTTCAGAAATTAAAGGGGTTTTCCACTTGTATGCTTTCCATGGCATATACATGTACAGTATCTATCATGAAACATACAATGTAAGACTAGTTTTAAAAGCATTATGCCATTAGTCTTAAATTTCAGTGAAAAGGATAATCTCTTAGCCTAATTGCTAGCCCATTCCCTAGATTTTGCAATCATCTAAAAAGGTACATCATTTAGCTTCTTTTTAAATTTTACATGTGAACCATAACCTGTGAAGTGTGAATTGGAAATCTTTAAAATTGCAGCTTAGTACACACGCAACATTTGTCATACAAAAATATTTAATTTCATGTTCTAAGACCAAAAGATCTTACAGGTACATGTACATGTACGCAATTGTCTTTTAATTTGATTTATTTATCTAAAGGATTGTCAACTGTAGAACACTTCTTTTTTATGACTTGTTTAAATGAGCAAAATTTGCATAAATACTTCTAGACAATATTTTCCTTCATACTGTTTCATTGAATGCCCCATCATCCAATTCCTTTCTAGTTGCTTTTGATAATTTTTGTATGGCTTGACATTTTCTTTTGCTTTGGAAAGTTTACTGAAGCCTTCATGAAGGTAGAAAAATGAGACAAGCTTGGGTTTGAACTGATTACCTTCTATTCTGAAAAGTCAGTTTGGACGTGTACGTCCGACACCAAAACATGTACGTCCGACACCAATATAATAAATGCTTTATCTGAAAGTCACAACAAGATAAAAATGTGCCTTGCTTTGAAGTTTATTAACAAGGGTCTACTACAACTACACACAGGAAAACTACTTCTTCAGGTCCTAGCATTTCACAGAGTTTGAGATACAAAAATGGAAACTCAACAAATTTACTTTCTCCGAGTACGTCCGACACCATGGTGTTATGAGTCAGTTTCTACAAGGATAATAATTTTGTTATTAAATGAATGAACCAACTAGCTGATGTCTTTTATCAAAATCAAAATCTGCTTCAGAATTATAAGTATAATAACACACTGCTGAAGTGTCCAAAATGTACCTCCGACACCGTGGAACTGCCCCTTACATGGCCCAAAAACAATAAGGTATGCGATTTAAACAGATATGATTGAGTTTTGATGGGTTTCGGGGAAGATCTGATTGAGAAAGTGCAGTTTCATCAAGAATTGGAGGGTCATTGCAAAGCTGCATTCAAATCCCATAGCGTTACGAGCCCATTAAAATTAAGGAGTAACTATAGAATGCAAGGCCACGTGCAAATATACCCCCGGAAGGAACCTATAATTGACATGATGGAATAGTGCCTTACACTACAGTTCTGAAAGTAACTATGGTAATTCACATCCACCCTGTTTCTATCTCCCCCGCCTAAAATGAATAAATGTTTAAGAACTAAAAAATAGGCCTGAATTCAGTTCCAACATTTACTTCTGTGATCCATGTAATTTGCATGCCTTGTGTTATAAGTTAACGTGTTAAAACTGTTACGCACCAACTATAGCATCTGCCCCAATATAGTTGGGACAGTCCCAACTGTGGTGCTGCAGTTGGGTTGGCCGAACTATTGTTGACCAATTCCTATAGAAAATATCTCAACCTTGTGCTAGTTTTATGCACCTCACACTTGATATAACTCATCTAAAATACAGTACTTCCTTTGTGACATGACATTGTAAACGCTTTCGAGTCAACTCGTACCTTGGACAACTCATACCTTGGACGACTCATACCTCAAGTTAAAACTACTTGTACCTTCACGTTATCAATTTGGTTGCAACTTTCTTGCTCTTCCTTTTCAGCATGTTTACAATCAGATTTGACAAACATATCAAGGACAAATCTTCACAAATCTCCCAGAAAGATCTCAAGCGCTACAATGATTTTCTGCATAGTGCCTGCCATGGGCGTTTGCACTGCCGGTTTACGTGACAAGGCTTTGTCGAACAACCCAATTTACCAACTTGACTTCTTTACTAACATTCTTTTTTGGGGGAGAAGACTTTATGAAACTTTAAATTCATTTTTTGGGGGGGGGTTCATTTTATTCTTATGGCTCTGGGAAAACACTATTGGACTTTTTCATTTTGGGGGGAATGATGGTTTTGTTTAATAACGGTTTTTTGGGGGGGTGTACTTACATGTAATTAAACTTGTTATGTCTTGATTTTATTTGAACTGTTTCTGGTCTTTTTTAAAATTTTTTTAGGGGGGGTGGTTGCCTTCCTCATTAAAATTCTTTTTTTGGGGGGGGGGCAAGTTACATCTGACATTATTTTATAAACTTTGAAGTAAAAGAAAACATGACATCACTCCAACATCATGGTGGACTGCACTGTGGAGATTCCGAATTGCATGCAACGACGGCTGGCCATGTTGACCAGCATCAGTTGCCTGACTGCGCATGTATATGCATGACGTCGACACGTACATCTCACATTAATGTCCTCCCACTGGCGTGTAGGGAAGACAGTATAGCCAAAATGGCAAATTAAGTGAAAAACACATGACTAAGAAATCAAATTATTGTTCAAGTTAATTACAATAATCACAAGCTCTGAGAACGCTCTGATTTCTGTGAAGGTACGAGTTGTCTTGTGCGTGAAGGTACACGTTGTCTTTACTGGAGGTACGAGTTGACAAAGGTGCGACTTGACAAAGGTACGAGTTGGTACAGTTATGTTGAGTTGATGGTATGAGTTGTCCAAGGTACAAGTTGAACATGGCCAGTTCCCTTGTAAAAAATACGAATTTGACACATGCTGGCATGCACAGTGTACCGGTCATGCTATTTAGCGTCAACAAGTGTCAACACATACAATTAGCGTCAACAAAGTGTCGGCAACTTGAAAATACCCTCTAAAGATTTAACAGTCATTTTATCACAGTTTAGAGACTCTAAGACCTGCCACTGTGTAAGAGAAACATCAAATTCGCTTCCAGATTCACGAAAAAAACAAAACTTTTTCACGATGTTTGGAGGCCGCCATCTTTCTTTACTCTTACACGAAAATAAGATGCCGGCTGGTCGGGCGACACGAACAGACCCATATTTATCGCTAAAATTTCCATACTCAAATATCATTTTCGATAATGTGATACATTGAATATGATATGTAGGAGCCTTACTAATATTGTAAATATAAAATATTTTCATAAAAATGCTTGAATATTTTGTTGATGCTAAATAAAATAGCATGACCCTGTTGTACATGTACCTCTGTGCTATAGTTGGGCCGACCCACTATCAGTGACTATACTATAGTCACTGGGTCAGCCCAACTATAGCACTCTAGTAAGGATGGGACCAACTACAGTTGGGATGGTCCCGACTGTCATGACTATAGTTGGGACTGATGCTACAGTTGGGGTGTAACAAAACCACCACCATTTGTGAAAACAAGGTCTTTATAATGGGCCGACCATGGAGGTAGAAATAACGTGGACATATTGTAGGCTGGTATGAATTTGATGGATGAAGGCCCAGTGCTCAGGCCTGACGATTATAATTTTTTGATTTGGCAATTTTTTTCAAAACTCAGCTCAACACTGACATGAAATGAACACCTAAGTTACCTTTCCCTTGTGTCTCTATCTGTCCTTTGCTGCGATGTCGTCCGGTTTTATGGGCTTTATTTTGCTGTTTAAATGGTCCCGATCTGTGTGTTTCCTGTCCACTATTTGCAGCCATCTTGCTCAATCACGCACGTGTTCTCTTGAGTTGCGCCACCAAGTGGCGAAAATTATAGTTTCCCAACATGGCAGCGTCCACGATTGTCGAGGTTTGTGCATGTATGTTTTCCTTCCTCCATAGTTTGTGCTACTGCTAGTCTGAGCCACCTCTTTTAACATTTGGACATGGTGGCCCAACCATGTCCAAATGTTAAAAGAAGTAATTCGTGGAGTTACTGTAAGGAACACATTCTTTCTAGCCTAGGGCTAGCCCCACTACTGGCACTAGTGTTCAATACGCGGACACGAAATTGCGTATACGGACGTGTGGCTAAGGATAGATGGGGAGTGATAGTCCGTGCCACACTAGTGGGGCTAGCCTAGGGCCTACTTCTACTAGTTCTGGTTCATCATGTTCATCCTTGCTCTATGGTTCATGTACTACGGTTTCGAGTCAACTCGGACCCAAACCAACTCGGACCCATGCCAACTCGGACCCATGCCAACTCGGACCCACGACCAATTTGGACCCACGTCAACTCGGCCCCAATACTAACCCGGACCCACGACCAACTCGGACCCACAACCAACTCGGACCCAATACTAACTGGGACCCATGACCAACTCGGACCCACCCTGAGTCAACTCGGACCCAACCCCAGGAGCGTGATTAACTT